TTAATCCAGTTTAAAAATGTATGAAGCAAAGGTCATTTAAGTGAACGAATTAGAGAGTTAAGAGAAATGTTACTATATCATTTTAAATGTCATAAAAGGTGATTAAAAGGTCTGCCTGGTAGAGTCAATACCAAAAACCATTGGTAGTAAATTAAAATAGAATGTGGTTATTTGTAAATCTTATAGACCTTATAGACTTCTTTTAATAGCAGAACTGAGGAGACCTGCTGCTAGACCTTTGGGAGAGAAATATCGTCCCCTTTTTGTCCGATATGCGATTCTCGCTGCTCAAAAATACTGTGTTCTTGTTTTGTATTTTTCATTCCACGATGTACCAAATGTTTGCAATTGGTAAAAATCGGCCTGCCTGCAGTCCAGACTCTTCTATGACAAAGCCATGCTGCAGTAATGGATGCAGTATGTTTTTTAGCATTGTCTTGCTGAAATATGAAATCTCTGAAAAAGGAATGGTCTGGATGGGAGCATATGTTGCTCTATAACCTGCATGTACCTTTCAGCATTAATGGTGAGGTTAGAGTTTGCATGTTTTCACTGATGTTCTATATTCATTTACTCCACTAATGCACTCAAACAGGCTTTTACTTTTTAGCACACGGGTAATATAAAGCCTCATGTTGTATTAAACATCCTTCCTTTACCCACTTTGTGACCACGGTCAGGTCAGGTCTCTTCCTCGTTCTACACTCACTCTTGCCTTCCTCAAGTTAAAAACAACTCAGTTAAAAATCAGTGAAGCAGAAAAGCAGAGTTCTAGATTAATCTTAAAGCTGCAAAGTTTCTTACATTTTCTGGCTTTTTTACTATGATGGCATGTTGCATATAATAAATTATTCTGTGTCTGTGATGGTGTGTTTAGCGCTGAAGGAGAGAAGCTTTCGGTGGTTGGGTCTCCTTTCTGGATGGCTCCGGAGGTGCTGAGAGATGAACCCTACAATGAGAAGGTAGATGTTTATCTTTACAGCCAGTGTTGCTATGGCCTCAGACTGGATTGAACATAAACTTTGATTAGACATTGTTAGAATAGTTTTGATTAAACCTAAACAAACCCCGATGGAAACTGAATCTTCGGAACTGTTAATAATAGCAGATGATTCGCAGTTACTCTGATCTGAATTGTTAGCAGGGGCAATTTTATATTTTTATAAGCAGTCTTTCTTTGCTCTTGTGGGTATGTATGTAAATATTAACGTCGATCTGTTTTCAGGCCGACGTGTTCTCCTATGGAATAATCCTGTGTGAAATCATCGCAAGGATTCAGGCCGACCCCGACTTCCTTCCCCGCACAGAGGTGACTGCTCATCTGCCTCGCATCACTTTTCCGATCACATGACCTTGTAGTACTAAGTCTACATGTTTGTACTGTACACAGACTAATCTTGTTGCTATACCGTGCCTCTGTACACAGTAAAATAGTTATTCACAGAACAAAATGAGTGTCAACCATTTTCCCACCCATTTTAGAAAAATATAAGTGAACTTCAAATATTTACTATTTATTCATCTAATGAACTTTCTCATTGTGCTTATGTCCAGGCTCTCTTTGCACAAGGCCGATGTTTACCGTTTATGATGTGAAATATGTAAAAGGCTCAGAATATAGCTGTTCAAGTTAGTTAAAACCACCCTTTTCAGTCTTATTTATAACTGCAATAGCAAAATTATGAAATGCATGTTAATAAAATACAGAAACTTTAATCACCTGTACATTTGTTTTGCACACCGTTTAACATTAAAATCCCTTACCAAGCATCTACTGTATGCAAGTTGGCATGAACTCATTAAGAATGATAACTGGTCAAAAGGGTAATCCTTTGCATTTCAGTGTGAATTGTGCCCTTAAGCCGGGCTTACAAGTGAATCCAAGTTAATAATAAAGCAGCTGATTATTAGTTCTTGATGGTCTAAAGCAAAAGAAAACTTGGCAGCCAGCAGGATCATGTCAGAGGGATTAGTTTGACATGAAGCTGGCTTTGGCAGCTGAGTTACAGTATGTCAAACATCTGCTGAAGTGCTGTCAGTCTCCGTCTTTATCCCACTGTTAGAATATGAATTTCCTGTTTGTTCTTCATGTATTTCAAACCTCTTTGTCCCTCTCGCTTCGCCCTCCTGACCAGAACTTCGGCCTGGACTATCACACGTTCCAGCACATGGTTGGAGACTGTCCGCCTGACTTCCTCCAGCTGGCCTTTAACTGCTGCAATGTGAGTCCATTATACAACCTCATTTTTTGTAATTTCAGAAATAATAAAACTTTAAAGCAGGATTCAAATAATCCAAGTAGTGTCTGTGAGGCTTCAGGCTGCTCTAAAGGCTCTATTTCTAATTTTTTTCCCTACTATTTAAATCAGTATGATGTCAAAAAAAGAGCAGATATCTGTCATATAGCCATTTGAGGTCCACCCACCTGCTCTTCAGTCCTTGTGTTTGCAACCAGCAGCCAATCGGAATAAAGTTGGCTTGATAATGGTAGAGAAGCTAACATCGTTTATGTCAGACCAAGTGAAATGAGCGACTTCATCCACACCCATGAGATAAACTGTGATTCATTTAAAGTGGCTCTTTTAAAGTCCAATAAACAGCTTAGGTTTATTTTAAGCATAAAAACATGTTGTTGTTTACTGGGAGATGTACGCGGTCATTGCTTATCGATTTCCAATCCTCTGCTTTCCATCTTGTGCAACAAACATTTAGGGCTGCTTATCTCTGACCAGCATTTACAGGAAGTAAACAAAACATAACTGTTAAATATTTAAAATTCAATAGAAAAAAAATGAATGTGCTTGTTAGCACTAGTTCACTGATAATAAACACCCACTGTCTGCTTGTGAGAAAACAGCTTGCAGGCAGCAGTAGCTTTAAAGTAGCTCATAAAGTTGAGGCTTCAGTCTGTTTTGTTTTTCAGTCTAATGTGTTTACCACAAACTCTGCTGTGTTGAGACAACATTTCTCAATTGGCTTTGTCCTGGAGTTTTGACTATTTTATTTCTAATTAGTTAAGTAACGTTCATTCCCTTTTTCAGAAATAAAGGGGCAATCTGATTATGTGAATAATCGGATTTAGCTTCCTCTCCAGAAGGGGTTCTGTTCTCTAAAAGCAGACCCACTCACTTGGCACGTTCTGCTTTTCTTAAGTCATATACTGGTTTGTTGTAAAAGTATCTAGAATAAGCAGCAAGTAAATGAAACCATAAAATCAAATATATTTGCTTATAGACTTTAAATGAGATTTTGCTACTTTGTTTTACTCACATGATCACTGAACTGAAAACACGAGTTCTTTTTCACTAAAGTTAATTACAACCACAGATGATGAGAGCATTAAAGATCTTACAGCACCCTGCTGATTAAGACTAGATAGGCCTCCTCTATCCCTTCTCATCCTTATCTCTTGTCTTGCTTTTATCATCCTTATCCTTCAAGTCTGTTTCCAAGTCTGTCTCTTTCTGGCATTTCCTTGTGACTTCTTTTGCACTTCTTTGACAGTTAAATATCATCTTTTAGCAACACTTTCATTTTTTTCACACTTTGTATTTCATCCCAGCTGCCC